ATGTATATATGTGTTTGCTGTAACAATAATTATGTCATATCCACTGCTGCCTAATTGCTTATATATCTGGAGTACGTGGGCGAGGTGTGTTACACGTATGCACTTTAGTAACCTGAAACACCTCCTAATTGCTTATGTATGTGCTGCAAAGAAACGTGGGAGCACAACTCACCACAGTACCAGATTCTTAAATTGACATTTACAGAGTTGTTGTTGTTACAGTAGTCAGTGAAATGCCATTCACAATTTTTTTTGGTTTTCCTCTTTTTTTTTATTTTTTTGGGGAATTTAGCTGGAATTTTGACATTCGAATTTCAATTTTCCCTAAAATCGAAAAAGGTTGCAAAACTTAATTAGACTCTACTTTTGAAGTTAAGTTTTAACACCTATTTTTCACAGTGGCGATATTTAATAATTAATAACTAATAATTAATAATTAATAAAATATTAACACTTTTTTCACAGTGCAATATTTAATAATTAATAATTAATAAAATATTAACACTTTTTTCACAGTGCAATATTTAATAATTAATAATTAATAAAATATTAACACCTTTTTCACAGTGCAATATTTAATAATTAATAAAATATTGAACTAACTAAATTTTCGAAAGCACAAAGTAATTAACTAACTAAATTCAAAAAAGTAAAAAAATATATAAATAATAATTATTTAGGATTAATTAATTTACAATTATTATTTGTTGTTATTTGTTAATAACAACCTAATGATAAAACATACTTATTTATGATTAATTTATTTATAACTATAATTTGTTGTTTATAACAGCCTAATTTAATTATTAATCATTATTTACAACTATTTACAATTAAAAATTATTCATAATTGCGGTAATTATTTATAACTAATTAATTTCCAATTAGTATTTGTTGTTTATAATTAGCGAATAATTGATAATAATTTATTTATTAATAAACGGGACCAATAATAATTATTATTAGGTAATTATTGTTCTTTCTGGTAATGAGGTTATTAATATTTATTTACAATTACATAATTGATTTATAATTATTACTGCTTGTAAACAATAACCTAATTATTTATAATTATTTATTATTAATTGATTACTAATTATTATTTGTGGTTTATACTTTATAATAGCCTGATTATTAATGATTATTTGTAAATTCATAATTATTTATTATGAATTATTTTTTTAATTATTATTTGTTGTTCATAATAGTCTGATTATTATTAATAATTATTATAATAATTATTATAATAATTATTATACAGGACAAAAAATCCAATACAAAAAATTTAGACCGTAAAATCCAAGAAAAAACGTTGGAAGTACAAAAAATCCAAAATAAATATGTCCAAAGTCAAAAAATTCAAAATAAATAAAATATAAATAGTGAAACATGTGAAAAAGCCACGTTTTTACTTTTTACGCTATAAAATCGGAATTTAAAATGTTAATATTAAAATCGCAGATTTTTAATTATTTACATAAATAATAAAATTCAATTATTTACATAAATAAAAAAATTTTTAGAAAAATTTCAGCTAAAAAATAAAAGAAAATTTCATTCAAGGCAGCCATTTAAATTTTTATATCTCAATTTTTTTAATTGGATTTTCAAAAATACCAGGACAAAAAATCCAAAAATTAAGTTCAAAGTGAAACTATTTTTTTTTTACTTTTTTGGATTTTTTGGTTTGGATTTTTTTTTGGACTTCTTGTCCAGATACCTACCTACCATTATTTACAATTGATTTGTAGTTCATTAATTTCAAATTATTTGTTGTTTATAATTTCCTAATAATTAATAATTATTGTTTGTTAGTTCTAGTAATCTCGTCTATAATAATTATTTGCAATTAATTAATTAATAGTTATCTATTATTTATAATTACCTAATGATGATAATTTTTTTTACTGCTTATAATTGACTAATAAATAATAATAATTATTTGCTGTCTATATTTACCTAATAATTCATAATTGTTTACGATAATTTATATTTGCTATTTATTGTTTATGATAATCTAATTGTTAGTAATTATTATATTATTTTTTATTTACTGTTTATAGTTACCTAATAATGAATTAATTTTTAAATTAAATTAAACTAAATAAATTAAATTAATAAATTAAGTTAATTAAATTAATTAAATTAATAAAATTAATTAAATTAATAAAATTAATAAAATTAATTAAATTAATTAAGTTAAATAAATTAATTTAATTAAATAAATTAAATAAATTTTTAACAAATTTATTTAATAAATTAAATAAACTAAATTCTGAAAAGTAAAGAATAATAAACTGACTAAATTGAATAAATTTTTGCTATTCATATCAAATATCCTGCTAAATTAGATTAAAATCCAACGGATGAATAAAAAAAACGAGTAACATTAAATAAAATTAAAGCACAAGGACAAGTAATAAACAACTTGATAAAATTGTTAAAACAAGTGTAAATTTTTTTTTCCTAACGATTGAAATGATGATTAAGGGAAAATATAAAATATCCGGTTATACACACGGAAGGACATTGCAAAAAGCAATAAAGATGGATGCTAACTTGGATAATGCCCTCTTTTTTTCAAAGAAAGAGAGAGAGAGAGAGGAAAAAAATTAAACTTTTCTCTCTTTCTGAAACGAGTCTTACCAGTCTTGGATTTTGATCTTGTGCGGATATTTTCTTGACGACCACCCTGTAGTTGTCACATGGTGCTCGCATGTTTGCTAGTTACCAGCAAGAAAACCTCACCCAGTGCTACCAACTTATTGATATACATATATATATCTATATCTATATCTATATATAAATATTATACATTCTCCTGTTTTTATACGACCGTTAATTTCTTCGTTTTAAAATAAACTCTCAGCACTCATTCTGCATACGAGACACAATTTCGATCTGATTAAATTCCAACTGCATTCCAATGTGTCTTTTTCAGCTCGCTTTTCAGCTTGAGACAGTCCCCGTGGTTTGTACTTTTCGAATAAATGTCCTCACATTTCGAAATTTTCTTTAAATTACTCGCAAATATTTTTTTTTCCTTTTTTGTATTAAAATAAACTAGTTTTATTTACCCCTAATAATATTACTAATAAATTAACTATACCCCTAGTAATACTAGGTGTTAATATTACTAGGGGTAAATAAAACTAGTAGTGTTTGCCACTAGTTTTATTTGCCCCTAGTAAAATTACTATTAAATTAATTTTCCCCAGTAATACTAGGTGTTAATATTACTAGGGGTAAATAAAACTAGTGATAAACACTACTAGGGGAAAATAATACTAGGTGTTAATATTACTAGGGGGTAAATAAAACTAGTGGCAAACACTACTAGGTGTTAATATTATTAGGGATAAATAAAACTAGTGGAATACACTACTAGTGAAAAATAATACTAAGTGTTAATATTACTAGGTGTTAATATTACTAGGGGTAAATAAAACTAGTGACAAACGCTACTATGTGTTAATGTTACTAGGGTCAAATAAAACTAGTGGCAAACACGATTCCCGGTCAATTACCCGAATCCAATCTCCCGAATGGTGAATAACCCGAATGGTGTAAAATACTGGTGGAAAACAATACTAGGTGTTAATATTATTAAGGGTAAATAAAACTAGTGTCATAACACTACTAGTGGAAAATAGTTAAAAATTTCCTAAATATTTGTCACGACATTATGCATCAAAAATAAAAAAAATTTCGTTAATTAGTCACTTAATCACTTTCAATAAACTATAGACTAAAAGACTAATTGAAAGTCTTATTATAAAACCATTTATAAATAGCCGAATTCTGAAAAATACAAATTTCCCACATATAACTTTAACACGCTTTTGCGTTTATTTTGTAAAAATATTGCATAATTAGACTTCTTAATGGTATAAATCACAGTATAATTACTACTATCTTTACTACTCCCATTGCTTTACAACTTTTGAAAAGGCCTTTTCCTGGTGCAATGTTCTGTGATGTTCTTAAAATCTTCATATATGTATTTATATGTGTATATATATATATATATATATATATGCTTTCAAACTTCACGCTTGAAAGGTGATTCATAGCCTTATGAAAGTTTGATTCATTGCGTAGATTTCTCCAGTATTTTATTAAATCATTAACACTCAATAAGTATTACCACAATTGTAAAGCTAACATTTTTCTTTTTTTTCACTCATGTATGAATTAGAAAAAAAAAACAACAACAACAACAACATTAGAATCGAGATTTAAATTGTGCAATTTCAATAGTCCTTTAATCGATGCTGCTCTATTTTGCCGATATCGGGGCCTTTTGATATGAAAGTTGTTGGCGGTGAAAGTGAACGTGAAGGATGAAACATTCACGATTCACTTTTCCCTATATATGCATTTATGTTTGTTTATTTATTTGCATAATATGAACAATTAGTACAAAGTTTTTTTAACTTCTGAAAATTATAACTTTTCTGAGAATTTTTGAAAAAACTGATAGTACCACTAGTTTTACTTAATCCTAGTAATATTTACCCTGAGTATTATTTTCCACTAGTAGAATTTTTCACCATTATTTGACACTAATATTATTTGCTAATACTAGGGAGTTAGTATTACTAGTGGTAAATCGTACCAGGAATAAATATTACTAGGAGTGAGTAATACTGGGGGTGAATAGTACCAGAATTGAATATTACTAGGGGTTAGTAATACTAGGGGTAAATAGTACCACAATCATTTTCTAAACTGTTGTTTTAAACTATTTTCGTCTCTCAACGGTTGTTAAGCAGTTATTTAAAAATTTATGTTCCTCATACTATTTACCCCTAGTACTACATACCCCTAGTTTTATTTACTACTAGTGTTATTTACTGTATCCTGTTACTATTTATTCGACTATTAGCGTTAAAGAGTTAATTTTTTTATCCATACTTACTGTCTTTATTTTACTTTTTACTTGATAATTAAAAACAAGACAAAGAAATTAATTTCCATTTCGTTTTGTCCGCTTGCAGGGAAATGAATCTGTGGTTCCTAGGGGTTGGCCTTTGACTTTAAATGGAAGCGGTCTTGTCCTGCGATTAGGCGAAGTTGAGGCTTCATCATTACGTCTTGGGGAATGTTACCTTTGCATCAGGAGTGCAGCTGCTGCGGTTGCAACTGCGAAAACTCCTTCCGCAACGGCAACATCAGCAGACGCTGAAAACGTGGAAGAAAACACTGTTGAGGTGAGTCTAGTTTTAAACATGCGAGCACGACTTTCCTTTTGTGATATGCGGTACACAGTGGAGGAGGAGGAGGGTGTGTTGGTGTGTGTGTGGGGATTTTTTATTTCTCACGAGCTTTTAAACGCTATATATGAGACCACAGAGTTGTATTTGTGTTTTAGTGTGAGTGTTGTCCTTGTTTACTTTGTTTTGATATTACTTCCTGAGAGTTTGTTGTGTTGTGCTCTGTGCACGGTTGAAACACGTCGGTTAAATTCCTATCGTTTGTAATGCCTGTTATACTAAAATTGGTATAACTGATCTCTTGACAATACCTAATGAGAATATGTTACTGTTCACTTCGAAAACAAAGGGAAATAGGAATGAGGCTTTTCAATCTTCAAGAAGAATTCTTTTTTTTTCGTCTAGAAAATTACAGTTAGATAAAAATATTTTCTATTATATAAAAGAATTGATATAATCTTAACAGTTATTTGGAAATTAATATTAATAACAAAACTAAAGTTTTGTACGTATCAAATTTTTGTTTGTTTGCAAGACAAAATTTTGTTAAAAACGTTCCTGTTTTAAATGTCTGAGATTAATGTTTAAATTTTGTCCCCTCATCTCTACTTTCTTCATCCATGGAGAATTTTTAATTAGAAATAAAATTAAACGCCATTTGAATGGGATTATACTGGCTAAGCAGGTTTTATTCACTTTATCATTGAGTGTATAAAATGTACCGTAATATAATCAATGTTTTCTTAATTGTGGGTTAATTTTATCCCTATAGCAAAACCAACGACATTAATAAATATATATCTATTGGGGATTATGAAAGCAAAAGAAAAAATCTTGTGTCCATAAATTAGCATAACACCTTTAATAACTTTACATTCATTCTCCTAATTGAATAGTTTAAACTAGAAAATAATTCCATATAAAATGAATGTGATAAATCGATTCGAATTTATCAAGATTGAAATTCTCTTACGAGGAAGTGTGCAAGAGCGCGACATCAATTATTACTGAAAAAAAACAGGAATGACAACTTCTTTTTATGATTAATTAAACAACTTTGGTAATTTTTTTTTTATAAACGATAGATAAAAAGTTTTCTTAATTTCAGTAAATTAATTAATTTTTGCAAATTATTTGTGTTTAGATAGCCCTTGTGTGGCGAGCCTCGTCGATGCGGGCCCCGGGGTTCCTCGGCTGGGACCGGGAGGACGAGTTCATGGATTGGCGCGATACAACGAACAAAATTTCCTCCTCATCGAGTACAGTGGTCCAACATCATCATCAACATCACCACCACAATACAAATCATCATCATCATAATCAAACAACATCGGGTCTATCAAAGTGGCGACCACGTCGAAGATCGCGCGAGGAAACTCGTACGCGAACACGTGAGACGAGCGCCGATAATAATCCCCACGAGAGTAGCAGGTCATCAGAGAGACTTGAATGCTCACGTGTACTCGAAAATAATCATCATCATCATCATAATCACCATCATCACGATCTTGCTGTTGTCAAATCAAAATCATCGTCAAGTGTATCTGACACGTGGAGGGACGATTTGAGAAATAGCGAAAGTCGTCGTTCAACAAGTAGCAGTCGATGCAGTGGCACAAATAATAAATCTAGTCTCACAAGTGGTAGTGAATTTATCAACAGCAATAATAATAGCGGCAGCAGCATTGATTCAAGATCACGTGTTAGGAGGAACGCCAAAGTTGTCTCATCATCAACAATGGAAAAGTGGAAGGAGACAAGTCGATGTGAGACGAGATGTCGAATACTTCATGCTGTTGATATTAAAACGCCGTCATATTTGGAGAATTTGATTTGTAAGGAGTCGGCCAGGTATCAGGAGGCTGTTGAGAGATTGGAGAATATTCATCCCGATCAGATTGCTGACGATGAACTTCCGGCTTATATACAATCGCTTCTTGTTACTGTCGAGAGGAAAATTGAGAGAGTTTCATTGGATGATTTAACATTCCCTTGTACTGCGTGCAGAAATATTGACACTGATGATCCTTTACTTGGATGTCGTTGCGGTAATGAGTCTTGTGATTGTGGAAACGATAATTGTGAGTGTAATTCGGAAAAGGAGGAAGCCAGGACGTTCGAGGTCGCTGGGATCAAGCATATTGACAGTGATGACGAGGAGGAAGTGCGGATGGGTTTCGGTGAGTACCACTTTTGTTTTATACCAAACACAAATTTTTAATCTGTACTCCAACCGACTTCAAATCAGTTTTCGATCTTGATTTTTGGATTTGACTTTTGGTTTAGAGTCAAAGAAGCAAATACTCCAGCAAGTGGAATAAAATTTATTCCCATTGGTACATTTGGAGCATAAAAATTCCCTACAGATGTTTCTAAAAATACTAGAAGTGTCGTGTCAGGTCTGTAAATAAGAACAAGTGTTGGTTGTTTAGTGCGAGGGTTCGACTCCATCTGAAGTAGGTTCGTTGAAAGCTTGTCTCTAGTACTGCAGTTCGACATTGTCTGGAACTGAAAGCAGCCTTGTACTGTTGTAGGCAAAATAGCAGATGTACTTGTAGCAGATGTACTACTTCCGTTTACTTGTTATCTTCTCGTGCCGGTTGAGAAAGCAAGTAAGCAAACAAACCACAGGAATTTAAATCTCCTCCACAATAGTAGTAACCAAAAGCTCTTTCTACCACTTGTAATCATTTATCTAAATTTTTCGCCACCCGATTTTGACCAGTATTTTTCATACATGCGGTAGGAAACATTATTTACAACAACTAAAATCGGTTCCTGATGCTACTGCTTCTGAAAGTCCCTCTGAAAACTATTCCAAACTATTTCCAAACCTAATCGAAAATTCAAACCGAAAAGAACAAAATAATAATTCCTTTACGGATAGTACACAGAACCGAACAGAACAAATTAATAATTACTTTACGGATGGTATGACGAACCAAACCGAAAAAATTAATAATTACTTTACGGATAGTACACCAAACCGAACAGAACAAATTAATAATTACGTTACGGATGGTATGACAGACGAAACCGAAAAAATTAATAATTACTTTACGGATAGTATGGCAAACAGCAGCTAAAAAAGAACTAAAAAATTATTATCTTTTAGTACATCTTTCGACATTATTATTTTGCGAGGGCGTAATTGTGGCAATGCACCAGACGCAATAATGTTTTGATATGAATTCGCGTGTCACATTGACGATGGTTGTTGAAAAGTGAAGTAAGAAGCTGAGTCAGGAAAACATACATATAGGTTTCACTGATGTGTACATTTAATGTCAGACGAAGAGAAAGAGGAACGTTGAGAAAGCGAAAAGACGTACATGGTATCGCTTGTGATTAATCAAGGACCTTTCTTTCACTATACTCCCACATACTTTCCTCTAAATTCCTCGTAGACTTCAACTTCCCTTTCAAGGTCGTTTCTCTTCTACGAGAGATAATCTCTTCAGTTTTTAGAAATTTCTGTTTCATTTCTCTATTCCTGCAGCTCATTGTTATTTGCTTTCTTGTTCGTGGTTTATTCTTTTTATTGTTGTTAGCAATATTTAGCACTGGTATTATTAACCACCAGAAATATTATTTATCAAACAATTCTGATTCCGTTTGGTTTGGTTCTGCTTTTTTGTTTTGGTTCTTTTTGACTTTGGTTCAAAATGCAGTTTAGTTATAATTCCCAATTGTACAGTTTAGATTGCTAATTGTAAATAAAAAATTAAAATTGCAACGGATGACAGTTTTGAATGTGCGAATAAAATTTCCAACTTGAAAATACTTTAGAGGAAAATTATAAGGACACTATTTTGACGATAAAAGCAACAATCGCTTGTCAGGACAATGGTTTTGTTTTGCAATAAAGGATATTGTAACAAGAAACCTGTTACAATTCGCTTCTGTTTCGCTACTCAATACATTGTTTCACATTAGGAAATGCACAATTTCAAAGAGTTGGTTTACAGAAAATGCTCAATTTCGCCCACACATACTCGTTGAGGCCACACCCTGTGCGTGCCCGCCAGGGATTCATGGCAGTTTTTGCTCATGTTCACCGCCTTCTCTTCAGTACTTCTTTCTTTTTTTCTTTCTTTTTTTTAACTTTCATATAAATAGGGTTCAACATACTCCCTATTTATATAGATATGCACACTTTATTGTAAATATGATGATGCTCAGTGTCCACGTGTATTTTCTGTCACGTGAGAGATGTTTTTGTTGTAAACCGTCAGATAGATACCGTCGATATAATATTTGAACAATAATTAATCAAATACTGTCGTATTTGATTAATTTTTGTTCAAATATTATATCGACGGTATCTATCTGACATTCAATAGAATTTGAACTACGGTTATGACCAACGTTAGTTATTATTACCGTCAGTTGTAAATTCATTCAGTTATTACTACCGTCAGTTATAGATTCAGTCAGTTATTACTACCGTCAGTTATAAATTCAGTCAGTTATTACTACCGTTAGTTATAGATTCAGTCAGTTATTACTACCGTCGGTTATACCTAACTTTAGTTTTTACTACCGGCAGTTATTATATCCCACGGTTATAACAACTGTTAGTTATTATTACCGTCAGTTGTAAACATAGTTTTTACTATCGTCGGTTATAACTACAATTACTTATTACCTTCAGTTATAACTACCATCACTTAGAATTACCGTCGATTATAACTATTTGTTCTTAACACCCTAGTTAGTTACAACCACTCTTAGTTATTGTTACCGTCGGTTATAATTTCCATTATTTATTATTACCACAAGTTATAAATACAGTCAGTTACTTATGACAATAACTATTGACGGTAGTAATAACAACTGACGTTAATTGTAATTAATAGCTGTTCTGAGTGATGGTAACTAATGTTATTCGTGGTCATAACTGTCGGCACTAATAACTGACTGTCGATAGAACTGACGGTAAAAAGAACTGACTGTAGTTACAACTGATGCTAATAATAACTAACGGTGGTTATAGCCGTGGGGTTATAACAAATGGTTATAATTAATCATAGTTATAACCCACGGTAGTAATAACTGACTGTATTTATAACTGACGGTAATAATAACTAACGGAGGTCATAATCGTGAGGAATAATAACTGACGGTAGTAAAAACTAAAGTTCGTGACAACCAATGATAGTTGTAACTGATGTTAGTGGCAACTAACTACAGTTATAACTGACAGTAATAATAACTGGCGGTAGAAATAACTTACTGTATTTATGACGGTAATAATAACTGACTGCAATTCTAACTGACGGTAATAATAACTAACAGCAGTAATAACTGACGGTAATAATAATTAACAGTAGTAATAACTGACGGTAATAATAACTATCATCAGTTATTATTGACGGTATTTGTAACTATAGTTACTATTAAACTAAATATAGTTATTATTAGTAAGTATAGTTATTATTACCGATATTTCGGTGATAATTGACGGTATTAATAACTAAAGGTAGTTGTAACCGACATTAGGTATAATCGACGGTAGTTATGACTAGTAATAGTTACAACACTAAGTATTTATTACCAACGGTAGTTAAAACTAAAAAAGAGAAACATTAACAATTTTTTTTTAATTAAAAAAAGTAGCAAATGAAATAGAAAACGAAAAGTGTCCTTTCTTTTCTTGCCTTTATTCCTTTTCTGGTTGCGTTGAGAGCAAACACGAGAGTTGATTGAACGTTATAATAGTTCGTGAACTACACGTTCTTTAGTTGGTTCGATTGGTTGCATCTGTATAGAGTGCGGCGCCCCCTTAATCATCTACTTAACTGGAAAGATAAAAGCGCGTCCATAGAAACTGTGCGGGAGGCTATTCACCTCGCTTCTGTTGCTTCGATTCTTCATAGTTTTTAATCCTCATATACAATATACGTATAGGTTTTATAAATACATAAATATATATATATATATATATACGCGTGTGTGAGTGGGTGTGTGCGTTTGCTTTTTAGAAAATATCCTCTTCCGACGATAGTTGTTGCGTACAAGTGCAAAAGACGGGAATTATCATTTATTCAAGAGACTCGTCGCGACATGCCGTTACGATGTACTTAGAGTCGAAAGACCTTGTGGTACATGCCGCAAGAATCGCGAATGAAAAGATCCTTTCAAGAGTCTTCGTGTTAAGGGATAAGACTGACTTAAGTAAGACCTACAGCGAATTGAATTTAAATTATGTCTCCTGCTTTTTTTTTGCATTCTCCTTCTTTTGTTATTTCTTTGTTTAATTTTTTTTTTTGGTTCTTCTTTCTGTAATTCTTTTATTCTTTTTTCTTGTTTTGTTTTCTACTTTTTTTTGTTTTCAATATTTGATTCTTTTTTTTTCTTGTTTTATCTGTATTTTTTATTTTCTTTTTCGGTTTTTTGGTAGTAGCAAGTTAGCAACTGACGGTAGTTGTAATTGATGACTTTTACAACTGACGGTAGCTGTAATTTGTGGATATTTCAACTGACGGTAGTTGCAATTAATAGTAGTTTCAACTGACGGTAGGAAAAATTAACGCTCGTTTTAAATGGCAGTTGTTTCTAACCAACAGTAGTAATAACTGACGGTACTAATAATTAATGGCAATTATAACTGACGGTAATAAGAACTAATAGTAGTCTTTAGCTATTACTATCGACTGTTATTATTTTCCACGGTTATAATAACCGTTAGTTGTTATCACCGTCAGTTATAGATACAGTCAGTTCTTACTACCGTCGGTTATAACTGACTGTGTATAATTGACGGTAGCAAGAACTAATGGTGGTCATAACTCTAATCAATAATAACTGCCGGTATTAATAACTAACGGTGGTCGTAACCGTGGGAAATAATAACTGCCGGTAGTTATAACTAACGTTTGCTATGACCATGAGCAATAATAACTGCCGGTAGTAATAACTAAAGTTCGTTATAACCGACAGTAGTTGTAAATAATGTTTGTTGCAACTGACGGTAGTTGTATTTAACAGTACAACTGACGGTAGGAAAAATTAACACTCGTCTCAAATGACAGAATCTTTTACTCACGACTGATGGTAGTTGCAAACATTCCCAGTAGCAAAGCGACGGTACTTAGAAATATCGATTTTCCACAATAGCAAATAATTAAAATTAATTAATTATTTAATAATATAAAGCATACTATCAGTAAAATTTCCA